GTGTGTGGGGAGAGAGAGGTGAGAGTGTGTGTGTGTGTGTGTGTGTGTGTGTGTGTGTGTGTGTGTGTGTGTGTGTGTGTGTGTGTGTGTGCGCGCGTGCGTGCGTGTGCGTGTGCGTTTTGGACATAAATCCGGCCACATCCATTTTTTTAGCAGCTTATTATGTGAAGGGTGACGGGAAGCTAAAGCCTCTATCTCACATTGGGTGAGAGGCAGACTATGACTTGGACTGTTTGGCAGTGCATTGCGGGACATTGTTTTGGGCTAAAGACGAGAAATGTTCACAGGTCAGGAATGTAACACTTTCCTCATCTGTCTTTGACAAGACCTCTCATCTCTTGCAGTGTCCTCCACCCAGGTACACAAGTGGGCCTGCTATTCCCAACTATACCCTATTCTGCCCTAGTTGCTGGTACTGTATCCGTTTACCGTGTGTACGGTTGCAGGCTAATTCCTGTGACCATGTATGGGCCAACATTTTTCACGTACAGAGAATGGTGGAATTGTAAGCATTTTGGTTTGCTTGGTCTGAAGTACATATTTCAGACCTCCAAAGAATGTGTCTCATAGGTGCCGTTGGCCTCGACAACTTGTCAGAAACGTGACATGGATAACGTCTGTTTGTTCTTTTAGATTTTAGTCATTGGCATTATAACTCTTTATGCTCATTTCCATTGATTACATTGTCACAAGAATCAGTCATTTTTGTTTAATGTCCTTTCTTCAATTGATTTGATCAACTTGTCACATATGTGTAATGAAATTGCGAGAGTAAAACAAGTAATGTGTCACATACTGGATTTTTATTGACATGCCTTAATTTGAAAAACTGTAAGGTAGAAGTGGCAACTTTATCAAACAAGGGGTGCACTTGTATTAAATATATTGTGGCTTGATTGGTAGTAAAAATAGTTTAAAATTTTTTTAACTCTATCTTGATATATTTCACTTTTATGGCAACATTTTCAACACACGGTTATGGCCATGTTGGATCCAATGAGACGTAACCAGATTAAAACACATTTTGATTTCCATCCCATTATTCAAAAACATGACATTGTTTCAAATTCACAGCAGACATTAATTAATTATCATGCTCCACCCAACCACCTTGCCATGGAGCCCGCCGCCTCGTTAGTAACATACGTTTTCCTCAGAGATTAAGACATGCAAGTCAGAACGCACGTCATATAACCTAAATTTATAACCTTTCAAGCCTTTGTATGATCGCAAGGATTCACCATTGGATTTCTCCCCATTGCGATAGCTGTAAAAAACACTCCTGGCACTTGATAGGGATCTGTAATATCCCTGTCCATCTTGCACATGTATCTCATTATGTCCTTCTTATCAAACTAGGCTAAGATGGGAATTTACTTGGACGTATTGTTGACTAATAAATGTTAATTTTATCATTGCTCACCACTGTAAAGTCTTCGCCTGCCACAGCTTCTACCCTGCCAGTGTAAACAAACGCACAAAGGGATCATTCAAGTGACGTCCAGAGCTCTAAAGGTCAAAGCCGTGATGCGTTTCCAGAGGCAATGCCGTCCGCTCAAAGCAACCCTGGTTTCCCATCATTCATCAGCAAAATGGGCGTCCGTCAGTGATGGATTGGCGAACCATCCGTCAGTATTGACTGAATGTCCACCTCTGGGTACAATGTTATACCGAGGTGTACTGAGAACAGATTTTAGAGACAAATTATACTATTTATAGTGGCGTTAGCGAGTTGGGAGGGGGAGGTGGGGCGTAATAGAAAATAACTGAGACACATTGGTTTCGGGACAACACACGTTTGTTAATATTGCAAGACCTAGTGTTGAGTCTACGGCTCATTGGCACAGTGGCTGACTTGTTGTCTGTGATGATCATGCTCGAGACAGAAAGGTTTAAATCAAATCGTGTAAGTGGCATGAAAGGAGAGCATGTGTCAGAGAGACAGACAGAGACAGAATGGAACGTTGTCTTACCTGGGATGTCATGTCTATCAAAGTTTTCATGGACAAATTACTCCCCTGTGTTGTTTTTAGGTATTCCAGCAAGCTACCTGTCAACAATATAGGTTTCATAAAGTCACTCCCAGTGTTCTTATACATCCATTTTCTATACCAGTAAGGATAATGAGGGTCACAGGTGAGCCGAAGCCTGTCCCACCTGACTTTGGGTCAAGAAGCATTTTTGTTCTGAACTCCACAGGAAAGGTAATGTGACAGAATGTCTTTTTTGAAATTCTGTGCACATTCCTGTATGCCAATAATGATCAACATTAAAAAAAATTGGTTAGAATTTTTTTCTCTAATTCGTTGGCGTTATGTTATTGATGACATTGTTCAAATCTTATACAAATCTGATCTGACCAAATTTGGTAATGCAGACGCACGGGCAGAAACGATGGCATCAAAACAACTTTCACTAAAAAAAACCAATGATTTTTTTTGTAAACATTTTAAATTTAACAGGGAATATCTATTTAACAGTTTCATATTTTTATTTGCATCAAATCACACCAGGTTCTAATTGACTGTGACCTTGTTATATGAGTATTATTGTACCCTTGGAAAATACATTTAACATCTGCATTTTGGTTAATATTGCATTAGTGGACTAATAATTAAACATAATAATTAATCAATCTCGGGATGCCTCAGGATTACCTTGTGTTGGTGACTGAAATTAACATCACAGCTACCCTCGCGTGAACAAACCCAGAAAGAAAGTTTAGTACACTCTCTAGCCGTTTCCCAGTTTGTGTTCTTGTATGTTCTTACGTCGTTGTGATCTTGTGAAATGTCACCAATCGCGGCCCAAATCCTGTTCTAGTTGAAAATATGAAGAAACCAAAAATGCACGGAATACCCGGATGTTATTCTTGTCAACTATCTTAAGCAAAGGCTGCATCGGTTGGTTACATGTGACTGGGAAAATATCCCAAGATTTGTTCCGTGCTTCCATTAAAATTGCTGGGGAGGGGATTTAAGATTATACCTTTTTATTTTTTTCTTTTATCATGTTACGAAAATACTTCAGAGCAGGGCGGAAGTTCACAAGTACACAGCCATTCCAATGACAAAGCGACAAGCATTCTTAGCAACTATGCTCTCAAGTCCGTTCTTCGGAAGACCGTACCTGCCGTGTTCACGAGACCGTTCTTAAGATTGAGAAACGACTTCTGTTTATGCTGCAAGTTGTTGACATGATGATTCTGAACCATGAACCTGAATTTGCTAAAATGTTGTTCAAACTATCATGCCACCAACCTGTAGTTAAGCTAGTTATCGCAGCATACACAGCGAGTCTGCAAAACCTGTTCTTCAGGTTTGGTCACATGACTTTAACAATATACGCAAGGGTAGTTGGAATGGAAATTTCGATTGCCAGCAGAAGGTAATATTGCCCAACATGGCGGCACCCTGAGATTAATTGACATTGATGAATGATTGTTTTTTAGTCTTTTTCCATGAATGTGATATTAACCACAATAGTGTGTTTTGATTAGCAGTGGCACATATAACGTATTCTAGTCCCCTCAAAAAGTTCTCCTTGAAGAAATTCCATGCTTCAAAAATACATTGGCAGACTTGGACCAGAATAGCAGTTCAAATCAAGGAACATAACAGTGGAAGGAAGTACATTAAGCATCAGTCAATTTGGGTTGGAATAGAAAAGAACAATACCTTTGCATGTCAGACAGCCACGTTAACGCAAAGGGAAACAGTTAAAAAAAAATGTCTGTGGCAGGAAAAAAGCAGCTTTACTGCCCTGTGTTTGGGTTGCGTTTGAAGTCGGACAGCCAAATGAATGTTCTTTGTCAAGGTCACACAGAAGCCTCTGAGGACACGCCTGTTATTTTCCATCTTTGTTGTTGTAGATAGTAAAAAAAGAGACAAAGTCAAAAGACGGGAACTCCAAGCCATCCTTTCTCTTGACAACAGAGGCTGCATTTGTTTCCTCTCTACACGTGGATTTCAGACAAAGAGAGCCACTGCTGGTAGTTTGACAGGCCGGTCGGAGAAGACTTTTATAAAAGAGCACCATTCAAGGCTATGGTGATGTTTGGGGCAAGACCCCAACCAATTTTGGTATTGTTTAATTGTGCGACAAGAAATCATAAACCTTTGGAGATTGAAGTTGCACATGATGCATTTTCCTGCTGCTATTCATTATTTCCACGTGTTTATGAATCTTTCACATTGTTATATATGGAGAAGGGAAAAGAAGATCCAGTGGCAAGATTTGGTACAAACTGCCTTTGTCGAGAGGCTATTTGTTTACAACTGCGATTGGGCTGTGCCAGTATTGGAGTGCATGTGACAGTGCGCGTGTTTGTGTCTGCGGATGCACAGATTCTGGAGAGGGGCCAGGGGTCACTGAGAGTCTCTAAACAATAACCCGGTGAAATGCCCCTTCCATCTTTAACACCTTCCCACAAAACAGGCCTTGAGAAATTTTGCTTTGCGGGTAAACAACAGTGACATGACAGCATCCGCAGGAGCGCGCAGAGCCAGTGAAAGTTCATGTTTCCTCGGAATGCCCGAGGAACTGAAAATAGCCAATCAGACTTCTTCAGCATAGCAGAGGAACATCGTCTTTTTGCCTCCGCCAAGCATGAAAAGGCGAGGGCGAGAGCTACTCCTTTGGGTTGTTTGATCATTAGAAGGAATGGATGATGACTCATTTAATTTTGGTGAAAATCCAAAAAAGGGTGCTGATATACAGTAAACCTTCATTTTGACTGCAACAGTTTATATGGAGGAATATTTTTCCTTGGTAGAGGTGTGCCATCTATCGGGTTCTATTCTTATTTAGATTGTTTTATATTGCTGACTGTGCTTCCTTTCACAGCTATCCATCCATCCAGCCATTCTCTAAAGAAATTGCGCCATGTTACTTTTGAAAAACAAGGAGACGGTCAGCGGTTTGATGAAAAAGAACTCTTTCACTGCTCTACTGCAATACGTGAATATATGACTCAAGACCATGTTGGGAAATGAGGGCGATTCTAGGTTTTGTTCAAACATGTCCTCTATTATCCAGAGATTGAAACCATAGCAACGTGTTAGATCCTGAACATGGATGACACAACACTGAGTGTTTCCTTGTTTGCACTTATGCCTTTGCGTTGTCTATGGACAAGAAACTGCTTAGATCTGTCAGATAACGTTTTTTTTTAGGTTTTGTTAGTCATTTATTGGAAAGACCCAAGGGCCAAATTTGCTTTTGTTCTTGATGCTTCAGTGATCCGTTTGAAATCCCGTTGAAATAGTCATTGGGAGACCCTTTTACGTACCGTTTTCCATGTACTCAGTGACAATAAGGATGGGCTCCTGGCTAACCACAGCGAAGAGGCGCACGAGACGAGGATGCTGCAGGTTCTTCATCACATTGGCTTCTTCCAGGAAGGCTTCCGTCGACATTGTGCCAATCTTCAGACTCTTAATCGCAACCTTCCTGTCATTATTGTAGAAACCTGAAAAGAGAGTACTTGAAAATGAAGAAACAACAAGGGGCTTTATTTGCATTGTATATTCATAAGCCTCGACCGCAGGGGTGTCCAAACTCGGTTCTCAAGGGCCGCTGTCCTGTTTCCCAGCTCTCCCAGGAGCAACACACCTGATTAAAAAATTCTGAACGACTTGCTCGAGTCCATGCAGGAGATCGGCGCGTGTACAGTAAATTTATTGAAAATGAATTATGAAAAGCATTCCACTTGACTTCAAGTGAGCCATTGTGCAGTGAGATCGCCTTCTAGCCCCGATCGTGCAACCATGTGTGAAAATCCATCCATTGTGCTTTTAAAAATATATTTAGGACGATAACAAAAAAATAATTCAATGACTTGATTTCTTCAGACTCACAGGGATTGATGCACACTGTTGTCACGGTTATGATTGAATTACAATGGCATC